GGGGGCGGCCTTTTTTACACTGGCTCGTCCCTCAAGGCGTGCACCACTGCAGCCGCGATGGCGCCGACGAACCTCACCTTCGCCTCCAGCGCGCGCACGTCCGCCGTGTCGCCGAGGGCCCACGCCGGCAGCCCCGATGGCATGGGCGGCTGGCAGGAGCACACTTCCTGGCGCGGCCCAGCGACGGCCGAGCAGGTGGCCAGGAGGTGCTGGAGGCCCGATTCGACGCCCCCGCCCAGCGGGCAGGGCGCCTCGGGCGGGGGCGGCGGCAGCCCCCACGTCCAAGTGGGGACGTCGTTCGAAACCCGCGCCACGGACCAGGCGCGGTGGAAACGCCACATGGCGCGGCCCCACGGCGCCCAGCGGAGTGCCTGCGGCCAGGGCTGCCGGAGGGGCAGCAGGTCTGCGAGGGAGACGAGCCCGTCGTCGCCCAGACGCGCCACCTGCTCCGTGAACCACTTGGCTTCCGCGGCCTCGAGCAGGGGGCCGACCGTCCTGCGAGCCCAGGCGTGCACGGCCGCCCGGCGGGCTGGGCCCGTTGCCCCTGGCGGGGCAGTCGGCCAGGTGTTGACGCCCAGGTCCCGTGCGATGCGTTCCGCGTGGCCCAGCCATGTGTCGCCGCCCGCCGCCACCAGCGCCGCCCCGACGGCCGGCGCCACGGGCGAGGTCGGGGGGAGCAACAGCAAGCGCGCCCGGGCCAGCACGACCCGCCGGGTCAGCCGAGACCCCACCCGCGTGAGCAGCCTGGTCTCGAGGAAGGCGCGCACCTGGCCCCCCGTGCCCAGGGATAACCGCGCCGCCGGCCTGGCAGGAGCAGCTTCGCCACCTCGTAAGAGGCGCGGTTGAGGCGGGAGGGCGCGGCACGCCCGACCACCTCGCCGCGCAGCTGGCGAGGAGCTCGGTGCCGAACAGGGCGGCCGCCTCCACTCGCACGGGCAGCTGAGCCACCTGCATAGGCGCGCCGAAACCCAGGTCGGACATGGCGGTGAGGAGCTTCTTGGCGCCATCGCGAATCATGGCGCACGCCCGGTCGAGGAGGGGCTGGCCCAGAAGTTCTTCCGGCGCCAAAAGAGCAGTGGGATTGCAAAATATGCCATGTTGCGCCAAAAAGGCTGTGTTACATCGCCACCGCTAAAAAAAGCAGGAGGAGGAGGAGGAGGAGGAGGAGGAGGAGGAGGAGGAAGGAGGAGGAGGGGAAGGAGGAGGAGGAGAGGGAGGAGGAGGAAGGAGGAGGAGGAGGAGGAGGAGGAGGAGGAGGAGAGGAGGAGGAGGAGGAGGAGGAGGAGGAGGAGGAGGGAGGAGGAGGAGGGAGGAGGAGGAGGAGGAGGAGGAGGAGGAGGAGGAGGAGGAGGAGGAGGAGGAGGAGCAGGAGGAGGAGGAGAAGGAGGGGCGCGGCGCGGGGGCACTCTCATGCACACATCTGGGCACGCGGCCTTCCTGACTGTCGCCCAGGCCGGCCCGAGCCGTGCGCGCCGGGCTTCCCAGTGCGCCGCCCTGGCGCAAGAGCGGGCGGGCCACCAAGAGCGCGTCCTGCTGTTACCGAGCTCGATCCTCGATCCTCGATCCTCGATCCTCGATCCTCCTCCTCCTCTTCCCCCTCCTCCCCCTCCTCCTCCTTTTCCTCCTCCTCCTCCTCCTCCTCCTCGTCCTCCTCAAACGATCCGAAAGGGACCACGTAAGCGGGGGGTGGGGATGGGGAAACCAAAAGGTACCCATACGGCTACTCCCTAGACCTCTCCCATGGGGTGCGTTCTGGCCAGAGCTCCGCAACGACACTGGGCAGTGGCGACGAGGGCCTCCCGGGATGCCCCCCCAAGAAGGCGAAGGCGAGGACGCGAGCAGCGGCATCGAGGATCGAGGATCGAGGACGCCCAATCGAGCCTCCTCTGAGGTGGGGCAGGACGCGGCTCGAGGATCGAGGATCGAGGACGCCCAATCGAGGCGATGCCGCTCGAGCCTCCTCCGAGGTGGAGCAGGACGGCGGCCTGGCAACGCAGAGCGGCGGCGCCTCCCTGCCGCCCAGAGAGCACTGGCATGGTGGGCTTGCTTTCCACCTCCGCCACCAGAAGGAGGGGACGGGGTCCTCCTCCTCCTCCTCCTCCTCCTCCTCCTCCTCCTCCTCCTCCTCCTCCTTAGCGTCCTCGTCCTCCTCCTCCTCGTCCTCCTCCTCCTCCTCGTCCTTCCCCCTCGTCGTCCTCCTCCTCCTCCTCCTCCTTCCCCCCTCCAACCTATGGTGGTGGTGGATGAAAGCAAGCCCATCATAGAGAAGGGGCGGAGCGGCCGCGGGGCCGACCACTTCGGAGGAGCTCGCCGACGGGCCTCGGCCTCCCGCCCCGAGGTGCCGAGCGGCGTCGACGGCGAAGGACCGGGTGGCCTGCTCCCCCCAGTTGTCCAGCCTGGCAGGTCGGGTGTGAATAATGCGGGATGACGATTAATACAAAAATGGGAGAGAACGATTAAACAAATAGTTTCCTGCTATTTCTGCACAAATTTCTGATTGGAGGAAAACGATTGGAAAAAAAAAAAAAAAAAAAAAAAAAAAAAAACGGTTGTCCAGCCCGCGGCCGCTTTTTCTCTCATCGTCATCCCGGGCACCGCCGCGTGAACACGACCCCCGGTCATATATTAATCGTCATCCTCCATTAAATCCAGACCCCCTCGGGCCATGAGAAAATCGCGACGGAAAGTTTGTCGCGAGTTTCGGCACCTGGGGGGCCCTGACCAGGCCTCGGGACCGTCAACAAAGCGACTCGGCGTGACAAGCCTGTCCTGGGGGATGGGTCGAGAACTCTGGGGGGGGTCGACGTTATGAAAGAACCAGTAACGTCGGGGCTTTCCTACAATAGGGGAGGAAAAACGTGCACCTTCCGTGCCTTTTCTGGGGCCCAGGCCCGCTTAGGGCTCAAGAGGTGCACACTTCTTCGACCCCCATGTATCGTGCCCCCATTACCAAACGCCTGCCCGGATCAACTCCTCCTCCTCCTCCTCCTCCTCCTCCGCCTCCTCCTCTTCCTCCAACCTCGAACCGGCAATCGTGATCGGATCGATCGGACCGCATCGGCGCGGAGTCAGGATCGGATCGGATCGGCCGCGCCAGGATGCACAACAATGCCATGCATCGGGCCGCGGCCGCAACGGGTCATCGGAAGATCGAAATCGAATCGGATTGGGCCGCGCGACATCGAGATCGAATCGGATCGATCGGATCGACATTGGCCCCGCCTGGCGGGGTCCATCCCGACCGCGTGGTACAGCGCCTGGATCCAGCGGAAGAGGCTCGGCTGTCCCGTCCCCCCCTTGAAGAAGTCGAACTGGTCCTCGGGAGGCGAGGAGAGGGAGGGCGACGAGGGGGAGGGGGGAACGACGGCTGACTGGGAAGAAGGGGGACAAACTCGGCTGCACGCAGGGTGCGCGGCTTTCGTGGGACCACGGGCCGAAAGTGCCAACGTGGAGCCCGTTCCTTCACCCTTCTCCTCCTCCTCCGCCTCCTCCATTCATGCCAACCCCCAGGAGAGCCCAGAATCGAATCGACAAGTCGGATCGGAAGTCGGCATGGATCGGATCGGCGGAAATCGGCAGCCGGGTCGGGAAACATCGAACCGGCGGAACTCGGCAGGCGAGTGCGCGCCCAGTGAGGAGTCGAAGCCCACATCGGCATCCGAAGCCGAATCGAATCGGAATCGGAAGCCACCGACATCAAATCGAATCGAATCGGAGGAAGCGAAGCGAGCCCTGCCCCCCCATTGCCAACCGCCCGAGACGGATGGACGAGACGGATGGACGGAGAGGCGTATACGTAAGCAGTTGGAGGTCCGCGCGGGGCTCGGAGCACTTCTGCGCATGTCGCTTCCGACTGCCCTTTTTGGGATGCTCCTGCTTATGATGGAACTCGGCCTTCCCCTGAGAGATACCAAAAGAGAGAACGAGAGAGAGAGGGTATGAGAGAGAGAGAGTGAGAAAGAGAGAGAGAGAGAGAAAGAGAGAGACAGAGAGAGAGAGAGAGAGAAAGGGAGAGCGTGGGAGAGAGAGAGAGAGAACACAAATAGAGAGTAAGAGGGAAAAGGGAGAGGAGGGAGAGGGAGCAAGAACAACAAAAAAGTGAAAGCGAGAGAAAGGGAGGGAGCCACAGAGAGAGCGAGAGAGAGAGAGAGACAGGGAGAGAGAGAGAGAGGACGATTCATACATTTATATATACATGTACATATATATATGTGCAAAGAGAGAGAGAGAGAGAGAGAGAGAGAGAGAGAACCAACAAAAAACAACACCAGATAAAAAGAGAGAGAGAGAGACACACACACACAAAAACAGAGACAGAGAGACAGAGAGACAGAGAGACAGAGAGATAGAGAGAGAGAGAGCGCTAGAGGGAGGGGGGCAAGAGAGAGAGAGAGAGAGACACACATCCGCCTGCGCGCACTGAGACACGAAGAGGCATGCCCTCAGGACCTTCGGGTCCATTGTGCTGAATTTTGCGACGCCTTGTAGGGAACACACGACCCCGAATGCCAAGCGTTCTTTGTCTCTCGTGGCTTTCTCGCGTGACCTTCCCGGGGGCAAATAGGCCCGAAGACGGGCCAGGAGAACCCGAAGCTCCCAAGACGGCCCACAAATACCCCAATACGGCTCAAGAGCGCTGCGAAACCGCCTGAGATGGCCTCAGGACGGCCCAAGAGACCCCAAAGGCTCCGAAGAGCTTCAAGATGCCCCAAGAAACAAGCATTATCGACTTCTCGTGGAGCTGTATTTTTATGTAACAAGATTATCGTCTTCTCGGGCCCTACGTTCCAAGCAACCCAAGAAGGCTTGAAAAACGGCCCAACACACCACATACATTCCCCGATCGACCAGTAGGCCCGGTCCAATACTGGACTCGGCTGGACAACTGTTTATCAGAAGAGGTCCCCAGTCGCGAATCAGCGGAATCACCGGGGCTCCACCTGTCAACCAAATGCACAAGATCGTTTCGGCCAGGGCATTACAGCTTTGAGTGTAGCTTTTGCTTCAACTTGCGCCATTCATCTGCCCATAAGCGAATAGATCGGCGCTGTATGGTTTGTGGACATTTGTCTCAAACCGGCCTGTACACGTCTGACCATTCATCGATGTCGTGGTTGACGTTGCCACCCATCATGTCTCCGCGTGGAAGCGAACTTGTCGAAGCCGGCAGCAGTCAGGGAAGCTGTCGCGAGACCATACTGCGCAGTTGGCGCGACGATGCCGTCAAAAAGGCGGAATCTGAGAAGCAGATCCACGTGCCAGATGGTCAGAGCAGACGGGAGCGCGTGATAGTGCGCCCATGCGCAGCACAGCTGGTTTGCCAAGATCGTCTTTCCCGTGGTCTTCAAGTTGCCCAGATACTTGCTGCCCAGGTACACGTGGAAATCGCCTTCCCTGGCGACCTCAATGAGACCGCTGGAAACGTCGACAAATGTTGGTCTGCAACCTTGGACGAAGTCTCTGTCCAAAGTGAATATATATTTATATATATACATATAGATATATAGATACACATACATATATATGTTTGTTTAGCTGTTCTTCGCATTCGGCTCTAAGCCGACACGGTGAAGCTCTTCGGCGAGATACTCTAGCATTGACGTCAATTCGTTCAGACTGGTGGCGTGTATGATGATATAAATCATCGGCGAACTTTATGTTGGTCACACGATGACCATATAGACCGGGCTCGATCTTGATTCCGTGGGAGCTCAGAAGACGCGACCGTCTTCTCACGACAAGCTCTGAAGCAACGTTGAAGAGCAAAAGACTCAGAACGTCACCGTGTTGAACACCCAACCGGAGATCGAAGAGCCGCTGATTCTTCAGCGTGCCCATCTAGCCGCCGCTGATCTCTGTCAAGAGTGCGGAGTATGGACGATATACACCCTCTACCTCAAGAGCTTCGGAGAGCCCCGGCATTTGGAATTCGATCGGCCTCGCGAGTGCAATTTCAGAGATGAAGGAAGCATCCTCCGCGCCCCTGCCCAACATGAAACCCATGAATGCGTCTGCTCGTTGTCCTTGCTAGCTCTGTTTAAGCCGACCATGCAAGACCATCGCGAACAGCTTGTACAGCACACGTAAAGTCGCAATCGGACGCCAATGAGCTGGTTCTGTCAGGCCACCTGTTTTTCAGAACAGCGTGAAGAACGTGACGTGCCAGCCATCAGGAATTCAGCATTATCTTGAGATGCTGTTGAAGACTGTGGTCAGATACTGGAGCAGCTTTGGGCCTGCACCTACAATCGTCTCTATCGAAATGTCAGCGTTATCCTTGTATCTTCCTCTGGCCATCTTCTGGACAGCACCCTGTAGCGTTCTTGGACTGATTCCACGGTTCATGCCGACGAGTTCATTTTTGAGAAATCGGGACAACCAGAGTCTCTGTTAAACAACTCCTGTCGAAGTCCGCCATGGCTGCTGGCGGTTTGCTCCCTGGCGTTTGCCTCTCAATAGGGCATGGATGTATCGAGCCGAACTCCGATATACTGCGGGAGCTCTGTAAGATATCTTCCGTCCTCTCCGTCTGGAACTGCCGCGTCATCTTCCGTGCTCCCTTCTGTATGCCCTTGGGGAGCTGGCTGCGTCTCACTTTGTCTCTACACGACTTTCGCTCGTGCTGGAGCCAGGCCCACAATGCGCTGTTCCTGCTGCGATCTGGAGCAAGACAGCAGCCCCGCAACATGCAGCAAATGTACACGTCGCTCATTTCTAATCGGGTTTATTTCTAATTGTGATCGTTTCTAATTGCTCCTGGCCCCCTGTTGGCCAGGAAGAGGCCCAGGATAGAAGAATTAGACATTCAAGGATCTTGGCCCCCCAAATAATCAAACGACATTCGCAAAAAAATAATGAAAAATGTGTCGCGGTAGTGCTCTCGATTTGCTCCACAGTCCCAGGGCACTCCTGGTCCAGCGCCTCGGCCATCGGTCGGCGATCGATGGAAAGACGGCCCGAGACGGCCCGAATGGGGGCTCGAGAAAGACAACCCGAGCTGACATGTCGAGCCCTCCGCCCAAAGATTGCCCTGAGACCGCAAACAGGCTCCCAAAAGGCCCCTGAAAAGCTCCAGGAGGCCCCACACGAAGCCTCAAAACTGCCTCCAAGAGGCTTCTGAAAGGCCTCGAACAAGATCACCACAGACATCCAAATTTTCTCTGACCTACTACCAAACCACGGTGGCACAATATGCCGAAGGCTACTTACTGCAAATTGAACAAACACTGCTTGGTACTTCCTATTCCTTCTCCAAGCAATCCTTGCACTTAGACGAACTTCCTGTGCGCCAGCCTGGCGGCTATGTAGTCACCGTCAGCGCCGCCACGGCTGCGTTGGATGCGCCAATCTAGCTGGCCGCTGCGCGCGCGAGCATATGCGGGCAAACGCGACCGCGCAAATGCTCCAGCCAACACCAAGCACTCGGCGCAATCGCTGCCGCATGTGTTTTGCACAGCGAGTCGTGGGCGGGTGGCTGTGATGATTGCGCGAGCAGCGGAGGTAACGCGTTCCACAAGTGAGCTGATCAGCAGATATTCGACCATAGGGGTCCCAAAAAACACAGAATTTGCGGCCCACGCTGGCAAACGTGTATAGTTTTAGGATCGGCAATCGTGACTACAGGCAGTCCACCGCCATATCGCGCGAAGATCTCAAACTCTCAGAAAAAAAACTGCAAAATATCTCGAAGCCTAAACCTGCGGAAATCTCGACCCCTAGGAAAACGTCCAACAATCTCTAAGCCAACACCTGCGAACATCTCAATCTCTAAGCCACTAAGCCACCTCTGCGAACATCTCAATCCTGCGTCCAAACCTCAAAGAACCTCTAAGCCAAAAGAAGCGACAATTTCCTTGTTCACACCAAAAACCGTCAAACATTTCCTGAGACAAAACGACCGAAATTCTGAAACTCTTGAAAGGCTTCAAAAAATCTACGCCGAGACCTGGGGAAATCTCAACTTACAAAAAACTTGAAACCAGAACTCTGAAAAAAAGCTCGAACGACAGTGTATATACATATGTGTAAACAAGTAAATCTACACTTATATATATATATATATATATAGATATATATTGCTAGTAGGTTGTAATAACTGCTTCATCCTTTTTGTAGAACAAGAGAGCTATAAACGCCGATGTAATCACAAAACAAACCCTTAAACCATGTCTTTGAAATCTGCAAGCGCCTGAGAACTCTAAACAACTCTATTTGTTCAGCAACAGAACCAAGCAAACACTCTACAACAATTTCTGGCCTCTGGCAGAAATCTAACAAAAACGCTGGAAAAACTCCAAACACGAAAAACTCTAAATGCATTCCCCGGCGGCCTAGGAAACTTCAAAACAATGGTAAACAACTCTAAGAACACCCTGGCCGCCCAAGCATCAAACATCGTTTTTTTGTCTAAATCTCTCTGCTCCAATTGTTTCTGGAATATCGGTTATATTTGTTCCGGGTTGGGATTGTCGCAGGTTTTGGCTCAGAGATGTTTTGATTTTTTTTCGGTTCGAGATGTTTCGCAATGTTTGGCTTCGATTTTGATTGTTAAGACTTTGGGGAGGTTGAATTTCCTGCTGGAGATGTTTGTTGAAGGTTTCGGTTGGTTGTCTCGATGGACCTCCACTTGTATTATTGCCGAGCATGAATATAGGCATGTACTTGTTCAAGTAGATACAAACTTACACACATACCTCTGTGTATATTACTCAAACGTTGCTTGTCCTTGTGGGTTCGCGCTTCTGTCTGGAGGACCTGGGCCTGCGTGGCGGTGTGGCGGTTCCGTGGTCGCCGTCGCTGCCCCATCGCCGCCTCGTCGCCGCCCGTCGTCTGGGCCTGGGGCGGCGCCGCGGTCGCCGTCTCCGTCCCGTCGCCCGTTGCTCGTCGGCGTCGCCGCCCCGGCGCCGGCCCGTCGAAGCGTAGATTCCCGTTGTGAAGTCATACTTGGGTCCAGCCCCCCCCCCGCTCCGCCCCCCCCCCCCCCCCGATTTGACCGTTCACTCTCTTGCGTTGCAATTTGCGCACGATTCTGCCCCATCGTCCATCCGAAATACGACTTCGTACCATCCCAGCCAAACCGATAACGAACCCAAGCCAGAAGGTGTCAAAATCCCTTGCGGAAGCATAACAAAAAAACACACGCGCGCGTCGTATCGCGCGAATGCCGAAATCGTTCAACAACCTTCGGTTTCGCATGGATATCAAAACCGATTGCCCCGAAAACGTAGAACAAATACATTCGCAACCCCCCACTTGCCCCACACCAAAAAAGAATGCGTTGGGATTTTCCTCATTTTGAGAAGACCACATGTTTTTCAAATCTCCACAACGTGCTACCAAACGGGCGTTTCGCACGCGCATGTTGGCATCGCCCGAATGCCTTTGCGCGCGTGCTGTCGCAAGAATCCCTTGCAAAAGATGACGAAGAGCCCGCGCGCGTGTCGTCGCGCGCGCATGCGGAACTCCTTCAAACCGTTGGTGTCGCAATGCTTTCAACATCGACTGGCCTGGAAGCTAAAACAAAAAACACATAAAGCATAATGGTTTGTAACTTTGGCTTTCAGAAATGCCTGCGTCTGCGCTCCTGCTAACTCTCATGGGAAACGCAAGTTGTTCAACATGTTCATTAAATTCCGCCAAACGGGCCTCTCGCGCCGCATATCGGGATCATTCGAACACCATGGCGCGCGTGCTGGGGGAGGGGCGCGATCCGTGCCAACTAACTCCATGGTGGCCACTCTCGTAGGTCGGCCGCGCGCGCATGTCGAACTCCCCCCGAAACCTGCATCACCGACGCGAGGACGCTGTCATCGTCGTCGGCGTGATCAGAATCGTCGCCGTCACTGGCCTTGCCGTCGTCGTCATCACCATCGTCACCAACATCGCTACCGTCATCATCGCGTCTACCGTTGTCGACGCCGCCGGCTAGCACGGACGTGCCCGCTTGGAAATGCCCAGCGCTACCGCGGCCCCGTCGGTAGCAACAAACTAGCTGGCCGCTGCGCGCGCGAGCATGCGCGGGCTAGCGCGGCCGCAAAGATACACCAAGCAAATCCAAGCACTCATCGCAATCGGCGCCGCATGTGCTACGCAAACAAAGCTGCGGATGGGCGGGTGGGGTGATTGCGCGAGCAATGGAGTGGACAACTCACTGCAGACAGAAACGAAGTGCACAACATCGGCTGCACCACATATAGTGCAATGTATTGCGCTACGTGGATTGCACCACATAGCCTGCACAGCATAGGCTGCACCAGGCAAATTGCACCACATCGCCTTCGCCACATAGATCTCAACACAACGGTTGTAGCACAATGATGGCACAACATTGGGTGTACATCGTACATTTCCCTCGCTACAAGAATATTCGGGTCACCCCCCCTCCAGAATTGACCGCTCACCTCTTCGTCTTGCACTTTGCATACGTGTCTGACACACCGTACATCTGAAACATGAACTAATCTCATCCCAGCCAAACCAGTGACGGTCCCCCCGCCCATGCTGCGCAATGGCAGTATGCGCGCACACTCGTTCATCAAACTCCACAATTGTTTCAAAATCCGTTGCAACAAAAAACGGGATGGAGTGCGCACGCGCGCGTCGCCGCGCGTGCATCCCGACATCCTTCAAACACCTTGAGATTTCGAAAGGGTTTCAAAATCGAATGTCCCGAAACAAAGCAAGTGTTCACTCGGGTTCTTGCGAACTCTCACACAAGCCAGCAGATGTTCAACCTTGTCATACCTTGCTACCAAACGGGCGTCTCGCACGCGCATGTTGGCATCGCCCGAATGCCTTTGCGCGCGTGCTGTCGCAAAGATCCCTTGCAAAACACATGGCGAAAAAACACGCGCGGAGTCATCGCGCGCGCATGCCGGAATCCTTGACAAACCCTTGCTTTCGGAAGGATTTCAACATCGAGTGTCCCAACAACAGATTTCACAACAAACATAATTTTGCAACATCTGTTTCCAGAAACCTGCGATCGCGCTCTTGCGAATTCTCATGCACGCCATCGGTCTTTCACCATTTTGATCCAATTCGGCCTAACGGGCCTTTCGCGCCGAACGTCGAAATCATAAAGACGCCCGTTGCGCGCGTGCTGAGGGGCACAATCCGTGCAAGATAAAACCCTCCGGGCCAATCTCGCGCGTTGGCCGCGCGCGCATGTCGACCTCCTTCGAAAAACTTCATCACCGACGCGAGGACGCCGTAATCGTCGCTGGCGTGATCGACATCGGCGCCGACACTGGTCTTGCCGTCGCCGTTGGCATCATCGTCAACAGCGTCGCTACTAGCATCATCGTGTCTACCGTAGTCGACGGCGCCATGACACCGCGCACGCCCTCCAGACTGCCCAAATGCCTTCGAATACGCCCCCAAAGACTCCACGAGCACTCCCGAGAGAGCACCAAGAAGCAAAGTCCATTGATGTTCCCTGGGTTTGTAAAGATTTGGGCGTTCTCGCCTTCTCCACTTCACGCCGCTCCAAGA